ACTCTTTCTTAGGCATGTGGTGAAGTATTGGGGCTGCCTACATCGATCATAAGCGACAGGGACTCGAGGTTCACCGGCCGTTTTGGCAAGAACTCTTTCGTTTGCTTGGGACGGAGCTCAAGATGTCTACATCTTTGCACCCGCAAACAGATGGGCGACGGAGCGCATCAACGGCCTCTTGGAAGTGTATCTCGGGCACTATGTGGCAGCCAACCGAAAAGATTGGGTACATTTGCTAGACGTTGCCCAATTTTCCTATAACTTGATGCGGAGTGAGAGCACGGGCAAAAGTCCGTTTGAGATTGTCCTTGGTTTCCAACCAACTACGCCTAAGGACATTCTTGGGGGCTATAAGGGCAATAGCCCACCCGCATACAAGTTTGCCAAAGATTGGCAAGAACGGGCCGACGAGGCAAAACTCTACTTGGAGAAGTCGGCCGCACGCATGAAGAAATGGGCGGATAAGAAACGGACCGTCGCGAGTTTGAAGAAGGCGACCAAGTCTTGGTGAAGCTCTATGAGCATGGACGGAGCCGTGGTCTACACAAGGGTCTCATGCGCAGATACGAGGGCCCTTTCACCGTTCTTAAGAAAGTGGGTTCGGTTGCTTACAAGTGGAACTACCCGAGGCCTTCTCAAGGCTTCATCCAGTCTTTCATGTGAGCCTACTTAAGCCATACCGCAAGGACCCAGAGGACGAAGAACGGAACGTTTCCTCAAGGGCACCACCGGCGTACGCGAGCATGAGGAACGGACCGCAGAGGAGATCCTTTCTAAGAGAATCGTTCGGGCGGAGAGCGGGCAGCAACTAAAGAATACTTGGTGAAATGGAAGAATTTGCCAATGAGTGAGACGAGTTGGGAGCCAATCGAGAAGCTTTGGCAATTCACCAAATTGATCAAGGACTTTGAGGAGAATCGTGCACCCGTTCCTATCAACATTGCCTTCGAGACTTAGGTGCATCGGGCGATGCACCATTTTGGTGGGGAGGATGTCACGGACGCTTTTCTTCACCATGAATTCGGGTGGTTTGATGCGAAACGGGCTATTTTCGTAGACGGACATGGGACGGAACGGTCCAGAGCCTTGTGGAATTCTCCGGTCAAATCTTGAAGACTCTGGAATTTTCTAGAGAGGCCCGGAACTCTCTAGAAACGAGTGGAACCGTATGGAAGCTACCCGAGTTTGCTAGAACCATGTGGAAGATTCTAGAGACTTGTAGATATTTTGAACTTAGAATATTTTATTATAGGAATTCTCTAGAATCCCATTATTTTATTATGTACATAGAATTCTCTAGAATTCTTTAGGACTTGGGGGGTTTGCCTATAAATACCCCATGCCCCCTTCATTTGTAACCATCCAAGCTTTGAGTAGAGTTCTCAAGCATTCCTTAAGCTCTCTTGTGCCTTCATCATTCTTTCACTTTCAACCTTTCTTAAGTTTTTCTTTGCCTCCGTTCTTTAAGGTCTTGCCTAGCTTTGCACGCTTTGGGGGTCTTAAGGCTGAGCTAGCACTTGATCGTTAGTTGTTTTGTGCTAGTGCCGCACGGCCGTTACTTTGAAAAAGTAAGCCCGTGACACCTCCGCCAGTCCGGCTCGAACGCCGGGCGTCTGACCGGCCTGAATCCTTTTTTCCCCTTGTACGTTACTGTTGATGCTTTTTTTTATCAGAATTTAGGCTTTGTTTGGCTAACCTTCCATTTTGTATTTTGTCTCATTTTACCTCTTAAACACAAAACCCAATGGAAAATAAAACATCATCCAAACAATTTTCTGATTTACATTTTAAATTTCAACTTGAAACACTTTTTGTTAGTGTAATGACTATTTTAGAACTACAAATAGTTCAGTGACAAATTTGACAGGATTCCGTTGTTGAATGATTGTTTTTTGAAAAGTTCGTTTTTGCAGCGACCATAATTGACAGTATTTAATTGTTTAGTGATGACTTGTACTTGATATTTCAAAATGTACTTCAAAATACTTTTTTTCAAAACCAATATCCAAAAAATATTTTTATTTTCCATTTAGTTTTCAATTTGAAACACTTTTCACTTTTAAGTGGCAAAATGAAATGTAAGTTGACGTCCAAACAAGCACTATTTTTTTGGGATTGTGTTGCCTACTTCTACTGAAGATGCTTTGCCTAGAAATTTTTTTTTCTTTTGGGGTTTTCTGCCAACATATTCGCCGCCTCCTAAATTATTATTCTTTTGTTTTTTAGAAATAAAAAATTTTAAACCAATAAAAAATTAAAAAATTTGGAACCTTACTTCATTTCCCCATAGATCTTCATCTCCACCAACATTCATTTCATCCTCCATTGTCGTAGGTTCCGGATTGAAGAATTTTTGAGTTTTTGTTTGAAGTTTGGGAGAATTTAGAGAGATGAAAAAAAATAGTTTGTAGATTTCAAAATATAATAGAGATAAATTTGTCAAAAGAAAGCTCTACCTAGAATTTAGGGAGCTACAACTAACATAACCCTATATAAATTTCCCATTTTTCATGAGTGTTTGCCACCGAGTTGTTGTAAAAGGTATGGATTTACTCATCACTAGGTTCTGGACCCGTGCGTTCGCATGGGTATGTAATAGACTAATGTATTTTTGCTTTTATACAATATTTTAATTTGAACAAAACGAGTGAGTTCAAAATGAATGAATTGAAAATATAATGCATCATTTGCCATTCATATGATGATCAAGCATATGTAGGAAGAAATTAGTAGTAAAATTTTACATATTTATTGCAGAACAGGGATAACATACATTTGCTATTGGTCCTAATATTTATAATATTAAGATCAACTTTTACAGTATCACTTCCCTAACCATCTAAAAATAATTTCACTACTACATTTAGTTCTTATGTTGTATTCTTCACCCAAATACCGATGTAAAACCAAAAAGAGTCAAATTTTGCCAACCACAAAAAAATGATACAATTTATTTAGATTCAGACAATTAGTGCTATTTTTACAATATATAATATTGTTATTACCGAACTTGTCGATGATTTGAAACACTAAAGTACAAAATGTAGTTCCCTTTTTTACTTCGATCTCGTATGCAAACAAATCTTGGAATATTCAGAAAAAATCTGACTTCATAGTGCAAGAACTTTCATTTCTGTAATCAAAATAAGAAGCAAAGAGAGTGATAAAAGATGATGATAGAAATTGCTTGCTCAATCAAGAAGAAAAACAGATAGCAATTAATATAGATGGCAATTACATTACCATTTAATTTTTTTGGGCGAATCTTATAAAAAAGAGCTATAATTTACAGATGTAGATCCCTTTTTTACCTCTCTCTCTCTCTCTCTCTCTCTCTCTCTCTCTCTCTCTCTCTCTTTTTGGTTTTTAGTTTGTTATTTGTGGTCATTCTTACAATAGCAAGTAGGTCTTTAAATTAACCATGGATTGAGAACTCTTGCACATGATTTTAGATAAACTTGCAAGACTTTATTGAATGAGTTCCTGTTAACTTCTAATTTCGATAAAAAGTAACTCACATTATAAAAATAAAAAAATAGAACAATGAAAAATCATATGTAATCGTTTTAACTTTGGAATCAATTTGTGCCCTAACTTGTCAATTTCAATTTTGAATATTTTATTTTCGACTAAAAAATGTTAAGCTCGAGTCCATATGAAAATTAAAAAATCAAACCTACGTATCATCCCAAAGAACATAGTAAACCAAAATGCAATGATACTAATAAGTCCGTTAGTTTGACACAATTACCAAAAGTAAAAGAGTGGTCAAGCTTCAAACTTCAATACTGAGAAGTCTAGTGAAACAAAAGGAAATCAACCAAATGGTTCAAATACAAAAAGTAAATTTCTAAGTGAAAATATAGTAAAAACTCAATTTTATGGTTGTGGTGTGCAAACTTTTTATTTGACTTTCAGACCATAACACTGATTTCTTTTCGACAGGGATTTTCACTGCTTAATTTTGCTTCCCAAACACCTACTTTTTCAAGAAGAAACATATCTTTTAAATGATTAAAATGAAAAAAAAAAACGCATCAATAATATTCTTTTACAACAAAAGCACATTACGTAATTAATAATTGATGCCGATTCCATTGAATTCTACTGGACTCCCTCGAAATACTTGTGGACTAATGTTGTAATCAGCCTATGTTATCGTCCCAGTGTTTGACAAGCCTTTGATGGTGTAGGGGAACTCTTTTCTTTTATTGAATCTTTAGCATCAAAGGCTTCGTAGAAGTTTGAGGGAAATAACCATTGCAATTGTAATTTATAAAGAATTTGCATCTAGGGGGGAAGAATACTATCACTGTAATCGTAGGACGGGAAAAGGTTTTGTTTTTGGTTTGAATAGGATGGGACAATCCTTTATGAATTTATAATTTGGAATTCACTGTGGGAGAGATGGAGGTTATGCAGGAACGTGGAATCCTGATTAAAAAGCATTCATGGATTGGAATTGCAGTTACTCTTTACGGTTAATTTTGAGATATGATTAGTGATAATTTACTGTTTTTTTTGGACAGGTTTAATGGATTTGGCTGGATGTGACGAATTTTTTGGGATTGGGAGAAGAATTTTGGACGGCAAAATATTTTTAGGTTGGGAATTTACTATTGGCCTTTTTTAAAAAATTAGGGGGGAGATTTTTATGGAAAACTTGACATTTGAAATTTTGGTTACATTTGGGTTTTGTAATAATAGGGTTTATTTATTATTATTATTATATTATTATTATTATAGATAGGTAGATTATAAATTTCTTCTTCGAGGGAAAAAAAAAAAGAAGAAGCCATAATTGCGGTTGTGGGCTAAATTGACAGTTTCAATTTCAAAATGACACTACTGGCCCAATTTCCTTCTGGGCTTATTCTTAAACAAACACAAAGGATGGGCTTTAAAGATATCTTAAACAGTTCAGGTGGCAACATCAAAGTGTGTTGGGCGAGATTTGATATAGGCACCAACGCCTTAAAATACAAAAACAAAAAGGAAAAGGGAACCTTTTTTATAAGTTTGATATCGCCACCGCTCCGTTTTCTTTTCTTACCGAATCCCCTGTGAAAGGTTTGGAAGAAGAATCAAAGGGGAAATGGCGGACCAAATTGCGAGAGCTGAAGATTTTGAAAAGAAAGCCGAGAAGAAGCTCAGCGGTTGGGCTATCTTTGGCTCCAAATACGAAGATGCTGCCGAACTATTTGATAAGGCTGCTAACTCATACAAACTCGGCAAATCTTGTAAGCCCGATTTCCTCATCGATCGATTTCTTATAGCCATTATTATTTGATGCCTTTGTTTCGGGATCATTTCATGTGGTTTTGTGTTATATAGCGGTTGATTTAGGGTTTATAGTGATTTAATCGTGGAGGTATTGCAAAGTGTCCCAATTATATGTTTATGCGTTGAGATGATTAGTTTATTGATCGGGCGCGTTGACTTGGATACTTTTTTAGATTTTTGTTCTTTATGTCTTGTGATTGATAAGGCGATTGCTGCATTTTTTGAAAGTTAAGGGAGGAAAGAAATCGTGTTGTTCTGTTTCTGTTAGTTTTTTAATTAATACTTGATGCATTTTTCTCAATCTGCTACCTTAATTTCGGTGGAATGAATCACGGAATTATCAGGAACGACATGGATTAAATTGCTTCAATGTATAATCAGAATTTGAGGAGGCAAGTATGACATTCTGTAAAACTTACAAGTTGATGTTTAGCTAAGGATTTGTAATTTAGGCTAGTTTTTCTGCTTCAGTTTTTATCCGAGGAGCAATTTTCATGACAGTTCAAAGTTCTATCAAATTTTGAGTTTTGGAATCCTGAAGGAAGTTATCATCTGGGAGTATTGATTATATCTTTTCTCAACTTTGATTTGTGCAGGGGATCAAGCTGGAGCAGCCTATGTTAAGTTGGCAAACTGTTACTTGAAGGCAAGCATCTGACTTGCTACTTGCTTGATCTACCTTTGGTTTTTCCTTGGCCTTTTATGTTCCGTTAAACCCTTTGTAATATGTTTCTTATTCTTTATGTACCAGTCCGACAGCAGACACGAAGCTGCCAATGCTTATGCTGATGCTGCTCACTGCTATAAGAAGACAAACATTAGAGGTTTTGATTGTTTACCATTTGTTCATTGCATTATTGCTATGTTAGCCATCCCCAATGAGAAGAAGGCTTCTCGTTATTGTTTGCTACAAATTGATACGTCGGTATTAATTTAAAGGATTCTGATTGTAGCTCATATTTTTGTTATAGGTCTGAATTTTTTATTTACTCTGAAAAAATGAAGCTTTGAGGGTCTTTCTTGTTTGAAAACCTCTATAGTCTTAGTACTTTGTTTCATGGGGATTGCTTATTTGCTACTCTTCGCATATTGTGACTTGCTTATTTCTGCAGTTCAAAGATGTGGACAATTGGATGTTAGACTACAATATTGTGTTTTGGATCTCAGATCTTACCTAATACAGTTATCATGGTTTTATCCGGACTGACTTTTACCTGTTGGCACAATCAAATTTAAACTTTTGTTTTAACCGAGATTTAGCATTTTGCGTGAAGAACTTGATTTGATGGCTGATATATGACTCTTCTTTACAGAGTCCATATCTTGCTTAGAACAGGCTGTGAATATGTTCATGGATATCGGGAGGCTGAATATGTCTGCGAGATACTACAAGGTGCAGTTTTGTGACTTGTGAAATAAATATTTGTCTGCTCTTTTATACCTATATTTAGTCCATATTTTAAAACCTATTATCTTCTTAATTTGAATCTCATAAATTCTCAACTTGACCTTTTCATCACATCAGAACAGATTACCTAGAAAGCCACACACTATTCCCCTGGGGAATATGGAACTTCTGCTTGTTTAACTGCATGTGGTGTTATTGACATTTGGCTGCTTACTGGTCATGTTCCATTTGATTATAGGAAATAGCTGAACTGTATGAGCAAGACCAAGATTTGGAGAAGGCTATTGTATACTATGAGAAAGCCGCTGACCTTTTCCAAAGTGAAGATGTTAATACTACTGCAAATCAGTGCAGGCAGAAAATTGCTCAATTTGCCTCTCAACTGGAACAGTAAGTTTTATTCAGTTCTTTTATCTTCTTCTTTTTTCAGCATTAAATTTCAGCAGGACTTTGTTTTTGGTGATAAATTCTTAAAATCTCTGCTGAAGGAAATTTTGATATCCTGCAGATATCCAAAGGCTATTGAGATTTATGAAGACATAGCTCGACAATCACTCAACAATGCTTTGTTGAAATATGGTGTCAAGGGGCATCTTCTCAATGCTGGCATATGCCAACTTTGTAAAGGTGATGTTGTTGCAATCCACAATGCATTGGAGCGATATCAGGTATGATTGTGTTAGGACTCTTTTTCAGGTTTTCACACTTTGATTTAGATATTTTATTTATGAGTTGTGAAACTTTGTGCTTGCAGGAACTAGATCCAACCTTTTCTGGAACACGGGAATACAAATTGTTAGCTGTATGTTTTTTCTTCTGACTTCTGCAGATATTGTGTTGTAGGTTCTTTTTTCTGGCTAGTTGTGTGTTCCTGGCATCCCTGGTCGACACATCTTTTGCGCTTCTTTAATTTACAGAGTATTGCTGAGTTCTACACGTATAGATGGCATCTAATAGTTTCTTCATACTTCCTTGTTTCTAGTAAACTACATGAGACTTGCATCTTATTAGAAAATTTTTACCTTTGTTGTAATGGCAGGATTTGGCTACCGCGATTGATGAGGAAGATATTGCAAAGTTTACTGATGCTGTCAAGGAATATGATAGCATGACCCAACTGGTAAATTTTGATTGGCTTCTTAAGATCCCCATGCTTTCCCCTAGGACATCAAATCGTCTCTTGTATGATTAACTATAATATTTTATTTGCTTTTGCTGATTGACATGGTAGAGTGATTATAGAAAGTAGTGTGAAAAGACTGTTGCATGACTAGAAACAAATAATTTTATTGCAAGAGTGTTCAATCTGAACTTTTGCTTGATAGTGACTCAAATTTTAGGTAAACTTCAATAAGAGCATGTCTCTTGATGTTATGGATTTGGCGTTTTAGATAAATTGTCTTGCCCTGGGAATGGGGCACTGACTTGTGATGAGGGGATTACGTTTGGCCCTTTTTTGTTTCAGTGCTTTTTCCGTTCTCTCATTGTGTTCAGAAAATGGGTTGAAAAATTGGAGAACTAGGCAACAAAAAGAGTTGTTTGCTTGAACTATGGGTTGAATTGGGTGAAATGACACAACACCTTGAAAACATCTCTGTCCAGTTTTGGAACTGTCTGCGTCTTCAAAAGTTGAGATAAAACTGCTTTGGACTACAAATTTGAATGTGTTCTCTAGTCTCGTCAATGATGAGTGACCCTAAAACTGCTTGGCTTTCAGTGGTTTAATGTCAATTGGCAAAGTTGCAAATTTTTTGAAGTGTCTCAGTTATGAAACTGAAATCTTTTTTCTTCTCTTCAATGTTGTGAGTTTTCTCTGGAAAGCATAAACATCAATTTGGTGCTCTGTTCTCAGGATGCATGGAAAACAACACTTCTTCTGAGAGTAAAGGAAGCATTGAAGGCCAAAGAACTTGAGGAGGATGATCTTACTTAAAAAAGTTTTCCCCCTCAACATCTACAACTTGATTTGTGTTGATTGCTTTGTACTCTCGCGTCCGGGGTTCTATTAAATTCATGATTGCATATTGTGCGTACAATTGCTTCTGTGACTGAGTATGTGCTTCTGTGACTATGTATTGGATATATTGTTTTTTCTTTTAAGCAGAACTTGAGTTTCAATAAGCGTAGTTTTGTGTCTGAATTGCTTTCGAAATTTGTAACAAAGAGGCAGACGGCTATTGAATTCTGCATGTAATGGATAAACATATGTTTTTCGTTTGACCTCCTGAGTTGTATAGAATTCTATTGTTCTGGTTATCCAGATGATGCAGTGTGTATATTCTTTTGGTTGGGTTTTGAAATATTGAGTCCACTTCCGAATCTATAACATTTGCGAAAACCAGTTGAAAATCTCTGTCCTAATGTTCAAGGGGAGACTCAAATTTTGGAAAATGCGCTTTAATTAGATTTTGGATAGAAGTGGGCAGCCCATACGAGCCTTCAATGCCTACCAACCGAACTAGGAAAGTTCCTTTGTTTTCGATGCTTTCAAAGTCTCAAGTTCAAAAGGTAACAGATGGTATCCAGGGAGAATATACTGTTGACATTTTTCGAATTCCAAGGCGAATGCCACTTTCTGCCTTGTCGTGGCTGCTGCCGGGATGCACAGCTCACGCCTCACACGTCCAGATGATCACTAAGACACAATTAGTCAAAACCCAAAATAAATATAAAATGAAGAAAAATAGTACTAGGGTTTTGTGTATGAACATATTTTGTATATATTTATTCTATGTTTTCCATGAAAAAAAAAAGATAAAATAAAATTGTCTCCTTCTATAAAAATATTTTGTTCTTGTTTGGACGTCAACTTACATTTCATTTTACCATTTAAAAATGGAAAGCGTTTCAAATTAAAAACTAAATGGAAAATAAAAATATTTTTAGATATTGATTTCGAGAAAAAATATTTTGAAATATCAAGTACAATTCATCACTAAACAATTAAATACTGTCAATTATAGTCATTGTAAAAAAGAACTTTTCCAAAAATAATCACTCAACTTCGTAATCCTGCCAAATTTGTCACTAAACTATCTGTAGTTCTAAAATAGTTATTACACTAACAAAAAGTGTTTCAAGTTGGAATTTAAAATGTACTCCCTCCAATAATGGGGTTGGTTGAGGATATTCAACTAATTTTATTACCTTATTTAAGAGTTTCTTAAACTATGTGTAAAGTGTAGGACGACACTTATTTTAGAATGGAGGGAGTAAATCAGAAAGTTGTTTGGATGATGTTTTCTTTTTCATTAAATATTGTGTTTAAATGATAAAATGAGTGAAAATATAAAATGGAAGGTCGTCCAAATAAGGCCAAAGCCATCAAGATAATATCTTCGCCCACGGACATTACGAATTGTCAAAATTTACTTTCGACTGCGAGAACAAGTACAGTTTGAAAGTTATGAGCAATTTAATTTCAAAATGTAACGCGCTTGGTGACATCTTTTTTTTTTTTTAATTTTATTTTTATTTACCCGTGACTGAAATCAACAGAGGAAATTCTTTTCCTAACAAGTACGCCAAATGAAGAGAATACTCCTAATGAATAATGCCCTTTCTATGAAGTTTCAGGCTTCAGCTGAACTCCCTTTCACTTTTTCACCTTTGGGTATGTCAGAGAAATTATTCCGCGACGTCGTTTTCCTGTTACATAAACATTAGTTCCACTACCACCACTTGTCTTTTTGTTCTTGACGAGTGGGAATGATTCGACCCCCAACTGGGCCGCTCACCCGCTTTACGAACTTTAGGTAGGAGTAAAATATATCGATGCAGTTTTTCTTTTTAATTATTATCTCCGCCTCTGTAAAGCTCTTGGGTCTTCGGTCTTTCCCTTGGATGAAGCAAATCAGTTCTGTTACTCTTCCTGCCAAGATGCTCTTGTCCCTCCGCTACCTTTTTGCCGAAAATTAACTGGTTTGTACCTTTCATTTCATTTCATCTTTGATTTTGAGAAATTGAAGCTTTAATTACTGTTTAAAAGGCTGGGTTTTTTTATGATGTAGATCCTGTTTCCTTTGCCTGTTGTTTTCTGTTGTAGAGGGGTTTTGCTTCTTCATTAACTATGTGTAATTATTGTTGCATCTTGTGGTTTTGGGAAATTTACTTCAGTTCATTCAATTTGCTGAAAGACGTTACGGAGTTCTTTGACTTATTTATCCTGACTTGTTCTTTGGCCCCCCGGCTTTTTTTAATTTCGGTTTTTAATCCTTTCTGGCAGACAAGAACATGTAGTTAAGTTGCTCAAGAATTCCTCAATTCCCGGGATTCTGGTGTTGCTCATATTTCTTTTTTATGAGTTTCTATGGACAGGGGAACATGTTTTCTGGATAATTCTTGCTATCATTTATGTTTTATATTTCTATCAGTTTTCTGATTCTGAATTAGTTTATTAGGATAATGGGAGCACTGACCTCACGTAAGCTGGAATTTTGAGTTAGAGGAGCCTAAGAAAATTCAGAGAATTAAGCATGGTTTCTACGGATAATGGTGAATGTAATGGTGGGATTGAGGAAGGCTCCCTTGGTAAAGTCAGGAGTCTTACAGCTCTGCACATTTCAACTTCACAAAGGGGTCTTATAAGTGACCAAGATTCTCAAAGTGGTTTCCAGGCTTCTCTCGCCAATAGGCTGAGGTTCCTTAAATTTGGAAATTTGTCGTCTCCATCTGCCAAATTCTATCAGATCGCCCAGGAAAGAGAGGATGTCTCTCGCACTGTACCATCGAGCAGCAGTCTTCATATTCGTGAACGTGTCAATAGATTGTTCTCCCATAAAATTGATTGGCCTTCTTTGTGGAACATTTCCAAGGAATGGATCCGAAATCCTATGAATTTGGCTCTCTTTATCTGGATTTTATGTGTTGCTGTATCTGGTGCAATCCTGTTCCTTGTCATGACGGGGATGTTGAACCATGCTCTTCCGAAGAAGTCAGAAAGAGATGCTTGGTTTGAAGTCAATAACCAAATCCTCAACGCGCTATTTACATTGATGTGTTTGTATCAGCACCCAAAACGTTTCTATCACCTTGTGCTTCTTTTAAGGTGGAGACCAGAAGATGTGACCAAGCTTAGGAAGATTTATTGCAAGCATGGTACTTACAAGCCTCATGAGTGGATGCACATGATGGTTGTGGTGATTTTGCTCCACCTTAATTGTTTTGCTCAGTATGCATTATGTGGCCTTAACTTGGGGTACAAGAGATCAGAGCGACCTGCTATAGGTGTTGGAATAACTATATCGTTTGCAATTGGTGCACCTGCTGCAGCTGGAGTGTACTCTATGCTTAGCCCTCTTGGTAGGGACTATGCTTCAGATTTGGATGAGGAGGCACAACTTCATGTTGCTCCAGAGAGCAGCACATCCAACCAACCTAGGAGACAATCATTGGAGAAGAGATTTTCATTTGCACTTAGATCCGATGATGGGAGAGTTGTTGAGACAAGTCCAAGTTGGAGCGGAGGTATATTTGATTTTTGGGATGACATCTCTTTGGCCTATCTGTCTTTGTTCTGTACCTTTTGTGTGTTTGGTTGGAATATGGAAAGACTAGGATTTGGCAATATGTATGTGCACATTGCGACATTTCTTTTGTTCTGTATGGCTCCTTTCTGGATCTTCAATCTGGCAGCTGTGAATATCAATAACGAAACTGTAAGAGAGGCTCTGGGTGTTACTGGAATTTTTCTGTGTGTTTTCGGGTTGCTCTATGGTGGCTTCTGGAGGATTCAGATGCGAAAGAGGTTTAATCTTCCACCATACAATTTTTGTTGTAATAAACCAGCTATTGCAGATTGTGCCCTCTGGCTTTGCTGTTGTTGGTGTTCCCTCGCCCAGGAAGTAAGGACTGGGAATGCCTATGATATTGTGGAAGATAAGTTTTATAGGAAGCAAGATGATGATACTCAAGCAATCCCAATTTCACCTTTGCCTCGAGAGGATGGAGAGTTCCAATTTAGGGCCAGCCCGTCTCCTGTAAGAAGCCCATCTCCTACACACCTCCCACTTGCAAGCTCTCCTAGTCCTAGTAGATTCTCGAAGGAACGTAATAGCCCTGGTAGACATCTTCCATCTGTGGAAGAAGGATATGCAGGACCCATAAATGACACGAGCTCATCTCCTTCTCATTATATGAGAGCTAGCTCCCCTAGTCCCAGTAGATTTTCAAAGGAGTATAACAGCCCCGGCAGTCACCTTCCTTCTGGTTCAGATAAGGGATCTAAGGATGACACAATGACACCTCCTGCTCCATCATCTATATCAAGGTGATGCCATGCCACTTGTAGCAGAAATTTTGGAAAGTAGATTTACTAAGGTATAGAAACATTTCTCAGTGTACTTTCTGTCTTGCTGCAACTGTACGTGTAAATTTTTTGAGTGTACATCTCTGATATGCATTTTGAAGCTCGAATGACCTCCCATTTTGCGGTTTCTTAAGACACAGTTTGGTTTGCCCCCAAGTTTTCGCCAGCATAGTTAAAATTAAGAAGGGGGGTTTGCAAAGATCTGTATATTTTGGAGTTTGAAGGTTTCTCAATTTATTGAGTCTGATCATACCCGTTTGCTATATTCAGCCTCCTCCTTTTATCCCTCTCTGGTTGTGACTATCTATAATAATGTTTCTCTAGCATGTTAGTAGGTTTCTTATAGAAGCTCTGCCAAACTTGCTTCAATTATACAGTATATAGTGCAGGTTCATCTCTCAATCAAACTGATGTAACCTCTCCCTGTCTATTATGAAGACGAATTAACGATGCTAGGAATTACTTAAATTAGACCACCTAGTTCTTCTAGATTGATCATTCAAGATTGTGAAGTCATGCTAGAGTGATCGTGTATGCTACCCAAATGTTCATATTTTGAAAAAAAAAATGTTACTATAAAGTGAAGCACAAAAACGAAGACGTAGCATTGCATTTTTGGCCTCATTTGCAGACCAGCAAACAAAGGATACGCCATTGCTTACTTATGGCTTTGATGGTAACAACTCAAAGGAAAAAATCTGCATAATTCTTGAATGGATGCTAGCGTAGAAAATCACAGAACTGTAATCTGTCTTCCTCGGTGGATTGTTTTAAAAGTGCGTGTAAAAATCAGGGTTTCCTTGAATGGGAAGTGAATCAACAAATAAATCTTGGAGGGTTGATGACACTTCTTTTTCCCCTCTTATCAGATGTCACCCCGATATATTTAGTGCTCCACTAGATAGATCCTGTGTAATCACGGGCTTCCCATTAATTTTTTTATGTGTACAATGGGCACTATTGATAAAAGTAATGGATTTAAATAATAAAATTACAAAAATATATAATTTTTGTTTAATGAGCAATATTTATGAATATATACCACCATTATTTGTTATTTAATGTTAGAAATTAACACAAAGTATTTGTTAGATCTTTATTGCTTTATGATGGATAAGAGGAGGAAAAAAACGCAGGAGAAGAGTTAGGATTGGAAGAGAAAGGCTAAAACCTAAAAGGAAAATATATGTTGTGTAAAAAAATTTTTAAACACACATTTTTTTTATGAAGCATGGAAATCGATGCGATACATTAAAAAATAATGTTTCATTCAGTGTTCAACTAAGAAAAAAGGGTTTAAAAAAAAAACACTAAGGACAAAAGAAAAGGTTTGGCACATCAGCCATCCAATCCAAACTAAGGAAGTAATAAAAAATAAAATTAATTCTAAATTATCAGAAAATGACACGTCAGATGGATGTGGTAAAATGGGCGGGAAAAATATATAATAGGCTTTTCAAAGGGGTTCTGTTTTAATAGATAGAATGATTTTATATATATATATTTTAATGTCAGATTCTGGGTTTACCCCAAATAACGTGTCACTTCCTGGTAAATTAGGGGAAGATATCTTCGATTACTTTGAACAACTCTGTTTGTTTCATTTTTTTCATGGTTATTTCATATTAACTAGATGTTTGGCCCCGGCCAAAAGGCCGAGCGGCCACCTTCAGATATTTTTTTCTAATATTTTATCACATTTCATTATGAGATTAAATTTTCTTATGAAAAAATAATAATAAAAATATAATTTAAGAGCTAATTATTACATTCATGTGGAAGGAACGCTTGTTTATATTCAGATATATGTTTACTCTTTGAATACAGAATCGTTATGCTTGAAAATTAAGTTCGAGAACTTATTTAGTCGGCGATTTGTTTCATCAAATCTAATTAGATGAAGATGAGACATAAAGGATTTGGTAGATACTGCAAAATAATTTTACATTACATCGCTGGTTCATGGTCGAATAGACGATACCATCGATGGTGAGAATCATAGATGTCTAACCCAAATTAATGACACCAGATTTTCGTCTTCTTCTCCTACTCGAACTCATCCATTGACGCCGGCTGGACCTTTTTTTGGGGCTTATTGTCCCTTTTGCTGAATCAAAGTAGAGTTCTATCATTGTTTGAATATTATCATCTTCGATTCAAAAAAGAACTGAAGATTTGAGATGAAGAATCAAGAAAAAAGAGAAGGTAGAGATTATTGTCTTCTTTTATCACTTCTTTTGATTATAACGTAAAAAATACAGAGTATAATTGAAACATAAATTGTTGTTTTTAAAATTGTCAAATAAAATACAGAGTATAATTGAAGAGTGGATTTGTTTTTCATTTTTTTTCTTTTAAAATTTGAATTTGATTATGAAGGGTGAATTAGATATGAAAAGATAATTTAGAAAATTAATTAGTTAGAATAATTTTTGATATTATAATAGAAATTCGAAACTTTCATAAATAATAATAGTACTCCATAACAAATAAGATTTATTGTTTAATTGCAAAAATAATAACACTCCACAACCACATATATTTTATCATGTTTAAATAATAATAGTCTATCTATATGTAGTTATATATAATAGAGTAACTGGTTAATTGGCATTATTTCATTAATCTAAAATAAATAACTTTGTGTAATATCAAACAAAGTTCTCATAAATATATTATGATTAAGAAATTGGTCCAGAGAAGATCACTTATCAAAAGTTGGAGGTTATCAAAGCGACCGACTCCAGATCCGACACTGTCGCTTAGGAATTTCTATGCCGACCAAAGATGAGAGAAATGGTCGGGAGGAAATTCGAGACGGCACAGGTGCGTTGGAATGTCGAGTTGCCGGTCGGATTGTGAAAAAAAAAAGAGAGAAAATTATAGAATTTGAATGAAATTTAGGAAGGTACAAATGGGAGTTTTGAATTTTGATTTTACTGATTTAATGAAATTTATTGTGATCGGGAAGAATTTGTGTTGAGGAGGCTATTCATCTTGAGAGACTTTTACTCCGAATTTTATTACGGAGTATTGCTCTATTTCGTGAGTTTTAAAGCGATTTAAAACTTTTTTTAAACAAATTATTTATTTGTTTTTCTAGGAAGTCACGTATCCGAATTTTTTTGTACTGAAAAAGTCTTTTAGCGGGAAAAAAATGAATGTGAAGCTGTCATATGTCCTAAGTATCATTTGTTTTCATGAAGTATAAGAGGATAATTTATTAATAATTATTCCATTCGATATATCCTTTTAAATTTTCAATATAACTTTTTGTATTTCTAATAAAAAAAAACCTAAAAAAACGAAATAAACATACTGCATTGGTATTTGATCCAGGCCCCCACCACAGTAAAAAGTTAGTTGATTAATTAATGTAGGTCGGACTAACCCTAAAGAAACTGATGTGAGGGGGATGGAAGCATTATGCATGTCAGTGTTGCAAAAATAGTTTCCGCATGAACTGGTTTTCAAAGTTTGTTTGTGGATTCACTTATCTACCTAATTGATTTGAAAGTTAGTAACTATACTGAATGATTGTACAATTACAAATTAAAAACAACTTCTTCTCTTTCTAGGTGGTGAAAAAGAAAAGATAGGACCGCAGCGGAGTGGTTGTGGTTAAGTGACAAACTACTGTCCATTTACATGGATCGCACATATATTCAAGGAAATGGAGGGACAAGTCACCGTCATTACCGACCTTAATCGTTTTGATGCTTTCCATACGATTCGTTGGTGACAATTCAGCTTTCAGCTTTCACCATCGATTCGATCGTCATGGTAAATGAAGTTTTTGACATAATTAAGTGTCCAGAATCGGGGAACTAAAGTTAAATTTGGCCTTGAGGGGAATGAAAGGTTAGAGCTAGAATTGGAGAATTCAATTAAGTGAACCCTGCCCCTTGGGGGGAAACTCAGTAACCTTAAAAACTTGTTTAAAGCCATAAAGCAAAGCTTCTCTGGATCTAATTAATTATACTAATAGTAATAATGGTCCTGAAAGTTGCTAATGGAAATCATCATCATCTGCGTCAAAAGGCCCCAAATGCATGATGCATGGCCGTCAGCGATCACGCATTTGTGCTGCAAAGAGCAAAACTGCAAACCATTTCCCACCAAAAAGGTGTGGAAAATCGTCAACTACCATTTTTTGGGCAAAAACAATGAGAATTATTGCGAGCTTTTGTGTCATCTCCTTCAACTATCCCATTTTTAAACTGAATTATTCAGCCTGCTCCTTCCAGAGTATGTGGCAAACCTAAGAAAGAATGAATCCCCGATATCTTTGGCTTATTATTGTGGCGCACTGTCACAAATCACAACTACTAAACACAGGTGGGTTTAATTAAGGTAGTACTTACTTGAAGGGGAATGCCCTTTAGGCGTTGAGATTAGTAGTCTGAGAGTCAAAGACGGGGAATCGAAATTTTTCCCAGGTGCGCTTTCAATCCAAAAGTCAGGTCAAGGATTCAGGGCATTTTTTTTTGTAGTTTTATTGCACGCAAATATAGAGACTATCTGACTGACCCGATTCTGTTGAACATTATTCCCATACTAACAGGATGACGTGACAGTTTTGGACACTTCTTTCTTTTCATTTTTTATCCACAAAGTCCACAACCGATACTATAACATAAAGCTATATTACCGGGATAGGCTAACCAACATTAATTGTTTGGAGGAGGCTGGGGAATTCACACGGGTGACTGCTAAGTCTAAGACGTCTCATGGGTTCGAGGCTTCGAGGCAATTAGATACTCAATTCGAAGTTAAACTCTATATATGCATATTTGACAGCCTAACCCATAAATCTCCATAAAAAAAAAAATCATTGGAAATAATGCTCTAGTTGTCAACTTCAGCCTCTAGTGTCTAGTCCCCCCATGTCCCAAGCTACAAGGTTAATAATAAAAGCTTGAATATTCCAAAATGTGTCCATAAGCTAATGTCCATTATTTGATATCTTGACTTGACTGCTATTTTGGTATTTGAGCTGCCCATTGCCACCAATCCTAGTCATCACTCAAACCAGTGTTGGCACCTTTGATGGATAGACGTGTGGCTCTAAAAAAAACCTACTCCTACATATTTGATAAACTTCTCACGCGTCATGGGTTCAGTTCAATGCTGTCCGTCAGCTTTTACTGTGAGCCAGTTGAACATCTCACTTATCTGAGTGACATCTGAGCCAAAATTACCTTCTCATGTTTACCTTTACACCACTAACATGACGGTCAAAATTACATTCGCCTTCAAAACTTTTACTGTTTTCGTGAATTCATGTCTAGTACTATATATTCTCCATCTAGCTAAGTTGATACGTCGTCATTAGTAGGATCTGATAAGTTATGGCTGAAACAATTTGATAGAGAAAGATACGTAACTTTTTCTTTTTCTTTTTCTTTTTCTTTTTGGTTTTTGAATAAAGGAAAAAGATGCGTATTTAATAATGCTATTTCATTTTCATAAAATCTTTTCTTCATCAGTAGTTAATGCAAACGCTTCGCTCAACTTCATTGCTAATCTAAATTTAGTTGAGATTAGAGGAAAAAGAATTGCGTAGAGTACTAAAAAAATAATCCCTTTTATTATTTGTTAATCTTAGACCTGGAGATATCCACACGACTCTATTTACGAAATTTAGGCTTGAAATTCACGTCACTGCCCTCGAAATTTGAAATTAAAATCAGTAGTGACTAGTGAGGGTTCTTATTTCCCAACAATGACCTACTAAGACCATTGTTCTTATGTTTATTGTATTTTTTTGTTGTCAATTGTAGTTGGATGATTTTCAATAAATTAATATAGAGTATTTTAAAGAAATGACCTTCTAGTATCATGGTTGAATTAATTGTAGTGATTAATTTGGGACATCAAATGCGGAATATACATTAAAAAAAAACGTGAACAGAGGAGTTCTGAAATCAAAACTAATTTCTTGCATTACAAACTCGAAAAAAAAAAAAAAACCTGAAAAAGTATGGCGTAATCATGATCTAATTCACAGCTCTTAAACATGGAGAAATTCTACCCAAAGCATCTCCTGGTTCAACCTTTTTATTGACGCTAACAAAGCGAGCGTACTCAAAATAACTTACTGCATCATCTTTTGTCTTAAAATTATTATCGAGTTTGAATTTTCATTTTTAGAATGATTATTATTTAAAATTGACAATCTAAACAATAATGATTTTAAAGTAGTATATTTCTTTAGCATAAGAGTATTTCTATAGATTTATTCCCGCCTTGGATCGAGTTGGAGACTTGGAATATTAATTACCCTATGGCTAAGTTTCACTAATTCTCTCGCATTGCTTTCATCAAATTCAATATTCAAAGGTCTAGAGTTTTCCTCAGTTCTCAACCACATCAAAACTAGCTTCTTTCCTGGCCGGTGATCAAATTTCCAACTTTGCCAAAGAGAAGAAATGCACAATGGGGTTTTCAAAAAGGAAACCATATGCTCATGGACCATATACTTTCTGTTTCAAATTTATATTCTTTCTGTTTCAAAATAATTATTTAATTTAAATTTAATACAAATCATATGAAAATAGAAATAGAAACTGTATATTCATTTGGGACGGAAGGAAGTGCCATAGATCTCTCAAACTGGTTTCGATCTGTACATGCCTAGTTGAACGGAATCGGATGCGTTGTGAAATATGAATGAATTTGACGAACCACATAAAAATATTGTGCCTACATCTTGATACAAATTGACTTAGTAATTTTGTATAAGTAAATTTTTTTTTAAAGGAAAAAAAAAAGAAAAAGAAGAAGCCATAATTGGTAATGTTTAATTAGCACTCTGAAATGTTAGATTCGATTGAGTACGGTGATTTGTCATGATAAGTTTCCTCAGCTAGTGATCACTAATTAGGATATCATATATACATTTATACCACCACCTATTATTGGTCTTTCATTATGAAAGTTTTTTTTTATTTTTATTTGAAGTTGCAATTTAGATATTTTATCTTATTAATTTAATTAACCAGGTCCTCGTTTAACGAAAATGCACAGCAAATAGTAGTACATTTTAAAGTTCAATACGCAATATTCACGACGAAAACATATGTAATTCACTTCCGAGACACACAAGTAATTGAGAATTACATCTCCATAAGCTAACTCGAAGTCTCAAAAACCTTGTATGAAAAAGAAAGCCCATTTTTAAAATTAACAGAAATTAGCTTAGAACCTGCACTGGTACGTACTTGTGCAATTAATATTATTTTGACTTTTTACATTTTAAAACTTCAACTTTTTATTTAAGAATGAAGAGTACATGGGATCTATATCAATAGATTAATACGTACGTAATGAAAAAGTAAAAACTGAAATTGAGATCCAATGAAACATCGAAATAAATAAAAAGAAATAAATGAAGCTAATAACCAAAATAATTTTCTCAACCAACAAAAAAAAATAACAAAGATAATTAAGGCTTTGTTTGTTAGGTTTTTTTATGGTATTTTCAAAATATTTAAATAATAACTTTTTCATTCTAACATACCTTTTTACATTTCCAATACATCTTTTTATATTTTTAATACAAAAAATACCTAAAAATACACACTAAAAAAACGAAACAAATATACTCTAAAGTTTACAGGAAAATGAAAAGGTAAGTTAACCCAAAAAACACGAAAATAAAAAGGTAAAATAAGAAATGTGAAATCGTCAATGATCTCAGAAAACCCGGTCCAAATTCTAAAAAAATACCCGAACCTGGTGGGTCAGGAAAAGTGTGCTTTGACAACTTCTTCTCAGTGGGCCCTAGATGTTAACCGCTAAAAACAAAGCCAGCAATTACCAAACCAACCATATTCCGCCACGTCATCCAAGGACACAGGATCCTTTTCCTCCGAGTGAAGTGACCAACGAAACCTCCTCGATTAAGTCTATTTACAAAATCACCCTTACTCCACTGCCTATAAATCTCCCCCCCAATCACCTCCCCCAAATCCTCATCTTCTTCTTCCCCCCTTTCCTCTGGGCACACCATTAATTAATTAAAAAAGGCTTTTTAATTTCTCCAAAGCTTTTCCTTCTCCGTTCACAACTGGCAAACTCTCAGGAAACTCTGGAGGAAACTCAAAACAAAAGGGTGGTGCTCGCCCTGTATGAAGCCTTGAGCTGCCGTGACGTGGACAAGGTCCAGAAGCTTCTCGCCGCCGACCTAGAGTGGTGGTTCCATGGTCCGCCGTCTCACCAGTTTCTGATGCGCCTCCTGACCGGCACTGACAAAGACTCGTTCATTTTCGTCCCCGAATCCGTCGCCGCATTCGGACCCACCGTTCTCGTCGAGGGCTGGGATAAGACCCGAAACATCAACTGGGTTCACGCTTGGACCGTGAGTGATGGGATAATTACCCAGGTCCGAGAGTACTTCAACACTTCTCTCACCGTCACCCGAATTGGCTCCGCCGCCGCCACCGCCGGGAAGTCGGAAATCGCCGCGGCAATCACTCCTCTCCATTGCCCATCCGTGTGGGAGAGCAGCCTCGCCAGCCAGGTCGGCAAATCCGTGCCGGGTCTCGTGTTGGCCATCTAAAATTACCCGTCCGAATTGGCCTGTGGGGACCTCCTCTGCTACTGTAGTGGAGTGATTATAACATATTAAACTATATTAAAATAAAAGAGTGGTACGAGGTACACAGCCAGGCAAAGCGCGTGTGGGATTTTGTAGTTTTCGTTTGATGGGCTGAAGATATTACAGTTGTGTGTGTTCTTTGCGTCTGCGAGGATGTAAACTCCGCGGCTGGGCATTGGTGGGTTCTTCAGTTGTAAGCGTGTTGTCCCGTTTGGGATTTTTTTTTTTTCTCCCTTTACGTTTTCTTTAATTTGGGAACTCAGATTAGATTATTACTGGGTTCGTGTTTGGTTGTGTGGTTTGGAAGTTTGTGAGTCGAGTCATTGTCCATTTGAGGTGGACCGGTCATGGATAGGGGTCCCTCCTCCTATTTGTATTTGGTGTCTTCTGATGTTGACATCAATTCTTGGTTCCCATGGATTTGCATTAATAAAAGCTTGATTTGTCTGCTTAATCCTTTTCTTTTTCTTCTTCATTCCCCCGGGAGTCGTTTTACTTCTGTTTTCAATTCAATCCCAATGTTCAACGGTTAATCCAATATCATCACTTTCTTAATTCTGATCACGTACTGTCTTTAACCAAGCTGAGGATGATGTGATTTTGCCTGGTTGGTCCTACTACTACCATTTATCTTTGAAAGGGAATTCCAAGTCCGTGGAGATTCCTATTTTTATTCCAATAACCATTGTGTGTTTGTTAGTAATAACTAATAATTTTGGGTGTCACTATCAATCCCGCCTGAGGTATTTCCTCAATTGATTAAAGAATGCAGCAGCCGTTAAGTATTAAAATTGAAGTCTACTAGTATATGGGATTCAATAAATTTATTGGTATCAAGAGAAATATCTTTGAAATTTGTATAATCCCACAAGATTTTCCGGTAAGGATTACAGGAGGGAAAGCAAGATATTTTTTTTACGTGCTAATCTCTATCAAATTGATTGAGTTAACAGACTTTGGCCATATTCACAAAGGTTGTAAATTAAGTGGATCAAATTAACTTAATTAAGAATCATGGTAAGTACTGGTCATTATTTGATTTCCATAACTTTATTCAACCTAAATCCTATGATTTAATTATTGTCATACTCCCTCCGGTTCTTAATATAAAGCATTTTGATATGTCTTAGGTTTCACCTAGTATGTATTTTTAATCAACGAACAAATCTTAAAAATATATTTTCATATTCGTTGTATTTTTTGGATTGTTATGAAATATTTTTAAAGTTTTTTCGATTTAAAATGTGTACTAGGCGAAACCTATAACTAATCAAAATGCCTTATATTAAGAACTGGAGAGAGTTTTTTAAATTTGTATGCAGTTATTTGTGAAAACTTGGGTTGTATTTGCTAGATAGCCCGTCATTATGAGTTGTTCCGTAGTTTAAGCGTGATGTTGTTGGAATATCATATTCCGGTAATGTTGTTCTGTAATTATTTGGACTCTATGCCTCTTTTGTAATAATAATAATTCTTGTTATGAATAGGCACTTTTCCTCGAATTTCAGCATGTTTCGCGATTTCGAAAGCTTGTCAACTCTTTGGGTGTCGTGGTCGAAGACGTGAAAATTACCTCTATCATAAAATGATCTACAGATAAGCAAAGCTTTTGTATCTATCATAAAGTGACGAACGGGGATAAATATTAATTGACCAGTTCTGTAATTTACAGGATATAATAATTTGTAAACATCAAACAGTTGAGGATCGAAGAATTATTAATTATTTACATGCCGCTAGCACATATAGTGTCACATTCATATATATTTGAAAAAAAAAATATTGATCTCATTGTCATTACTCATTACTCCAAGATTACTAATTTGAAGGTACGCAGTGAAAAAGTCAGTTTTTTTTACCCCTTTCTAGAAAAGAAAAAAAAATTTATCTAAAAAATAGTCTAGTTTCATAAATGTCAAAACATTAATTTGATTAAAACCACTAACATACTTAGTAAAATAGAGGTAATCTATTTTTATTTTTTTTGGTTGGGTAAGGTCGAGAACCTCATCAGAGATGTGTAAATCTACGTCTATTGCAATAGCCTGCAAATTACAATGAAATTTAAATTACTGTATACAAACCTTATTTAGAAACCGATTAAATAAGATAATCGATGATTGTATGCACTTTGATTGAGTTGGTTACAATTAGAAAAAGTTTTATATATATATATATATATAAAAAATATTATTATTTTTTTTTAGAATGAAGAGAGTGAAGGAAAAGGCAAAGGCATCTCGACGATGATAGGTGAAGTGTAATGATGATATGTATCTTCTCCTTTTACTTAAACAAGCTCTTCCTTCTCATCCCCCCTCCCCTTTTTCTTGGGTGCAATGCAGCAAGCAAAGGGTAGTGATACTATATGGTTAATTAAACTTTAATATACAGGTCTTCGCAATTGTCGTGTACACTAAATACTACTCCATCTGTCTCAAAATTATTGTTTAGTTTGAAATTTCATGTTTAGTATAATTTGAACTAAAAATGAAAATCCAAACGAGACAATATTTATGGAACGGAGGGAGTACTAATTAACAACTTGTTGAAGGGAAAGTCAAAAGATCGACGTAGAATGATGTTGTTTGCTTAACAAAATGATGGTAAGTTATGTTATTTTAAAGGAGCTTAATTTTAAGCCAAACAATACCAAGGTCAATTAACACGTGACGTGCAGACAATGAAGTATGTATGGTTGAACAGGATTTGAAATCCATAGACAAGGTACCGAATCAGCATATTCTTCCATTAATGCATGAATCTCAAGTGCAATGTACTAGCAACTAGCCAACTCGAAGCAAAAACGACACTGAAATTTTAAGACAAGCTCTCCAGCCAACTTGGAATAAATGAAAACATCGGATTCCACTACACAATATGGGACTCCCCATCCTTATATCCCCCAATATTCCTTCAATCTTTTTGGTGTACATTTTTGTTCAAGTGATGCTGTAGAAATTTGACGTGATGCACAACTTTGTGTTTTCGTAGCAACTCGACGTCCAAACTATATTAAGTGGGGAATCAAGGAGGAATATGATCCTCACATGTGGATTTTACAGAATTTTGATTTCGTAAATGCTTATGTGAATTTCTACATGGAATTCGAATAGCCCAAAATATTCCCCAATCTCATAACTATGTTTTCCAATCTAAAATTTATAAAATGATTTTTCTTTCTTCGACCTCTTCCATGCGTCGTCCATTCGTCATCGTGAGAAAATGGTTTTAAAAAAAAAGTTTGTACTACTTGATACTCAAATTATGATCAGATATTCTTGTCATTTCATAAAAATAATTTTTTTCGGTACAATAAAAGAGATTAAAGACCTATGCAAATAGCTTATCTTATTATAAACTATAACGATACAAGAAATTATTTGGGAGCAGAAATAATACTTAATTAATGTCCTATGGGACGATACTTGGGAGGGCAAAGGGAATAACGTATGGTTGTTCCCGGCTTCTAGTTTTTATACCCTCAACCTCAAGCATATTCCAAGCTCCATTATTGAATAGCGCATGGTTTTCAAAGAAAAATATAATAATAATCTATTCTATATACTATACTAAGGCAAAAACCAGAGAGAGAAAACTAAAGGCATGGAGCACATGCCACATAGGATTTAATCTTATGTGGCATTTTCTTAATTTCTTAGACTTAAAAATGCACAAAACATAATAATAAAACCAAAAAAAAATCAACTAAAATAATTTTTAAAAAAAATAAAATAATAAAAATCGAACCCTTATTTTCATGAACCAAATCCTAACACAGAGATTGATTGGAGAGAGTACCAAATCCTAACAAATTTTAGAGAAATCTGCATAAGCCTTATCACCAGTGAATTTGAAATGTCATGTAAAAAAACAAATTCTTGTAAATCCAGAGGTAATCATGTTTAAAACTGAATTCATTGCATATTTTATAAAAATACAAAATTTATGTAAAAATGTCTAAATGTGTATGCCTTCCCCATCCATCGGACGGGTCTAACACCTAATAATAATAATAATAATAATAATAATAATAATAATAATAATAATAATAATAATAATAATAGCACACGTAAGTTAGAGTGGTTGACGATACACTTTTTTGTAAACAATTTATTTTGTTGTATGGTTTCAATTTAATAAAGTGCACGAGTCATTAAAATGAGACAAAGTAAATACGGAGTAACAAAGTAAATTTATAACCAAAATGTAATTACAATTAGTTATCAAAATTCCAAATGAAAAGCCTATTTGATGTGTTCTTTGGAAAATACGAGGGGATCGAGTGTTAAAGTTGGCTATTTGATAAGGGCAATTGGAGATCAACATGCTAGAGGGAGTGTTACGTGTGTATAAGCGCAATTCCGAAGCAACAAATGTTTCATGCCTTATCTTCACTTTTTTCCCATATAGTCATATATAAAAAACAATACTTCGAGTTCGATATGCATGTGAATTATTAAAACGTTGCCGAGGAAAATCCAGCGTTTTTGATACTAAAATTTCTTAACCTTTGTTCGATTCTCTTTTTCTTTTCAAAAGTAGCCAAATAGTGGAGTGCTCTTCCTCTTTTTCAACTTTTTAAATTTTTTTTTTATAGAAATTTTATGAAAAGATGTTTTCCACTTTCAATTAGTGAGCTGTGACAAATATAAACATTTGAGTATATAAAAACTAAAGTTAATAAAGGTGATATATTGTACTTTTTTCATTCCAAAATAAGTGTCATCTTACACTTTGCACATAGTTGAAGAGATTCTTAAATAGAGTAATAATATTCTTCAATATCTTCAACCAACTCTATTAAAAAAATGTCCACCAACAGTATTTATAATTCTTTTGAGGGTAATTTTGAAAACTTTGGATAAAAATTGCATTGAAATGTGAGACCAACACTTAATTTTTTCGCTTTGTTAAAACGACACTTTTTTTGGAACAGAGGAATAATTTCCTACGACTATTTAATTTCCTGCTTAGACTTTTTGTCTGTTGTTTGTTTTTTAGCAGACCTTTATATGCGTGCGTATTGACTATAAATTGATAATTAGCACCACAAATAATTAATAGCGTGCATTTGATTACCACAAGTTTCTTTCATTTTTTGTGATGATATTTACACGTCGTCAAAAACCAATAAGGAAAAAAGTCTAAGCGATGCATATTTAATTACTTTTAA